GGAGCAATAGAAGTGCCTCTGTGATAACGTATTTAAGAAGGGAAAACCAGCATGGAGAGAGGGGTGGGGTGTGAGAGAAACAACTCTGCAGGCACCAAGGTCAGTGAGGAGGGAGGGGAGCAGAGTACTGAAGTGTGTGAGTGGCTGTGTGGAGATTTGTTGCCCGCTGGGCCTAAATCATGAGAAACATGAAGCAGTATTGATAAATCAATAAATGAGAAAGCTCTGTACTCCACAAGGCGGCTCTGTGTTACCAGTTTGATTTCTATAGCGTTGATCCTTGTGTCTATTTATGCCCAGGCAAAAAAGGCTTGGATATAAATGCAATACAATCTCTGCTCACTTTGACTTGTGGTGGCATTTAGCCCTTATTTCACCTGCTTGACACATGGAATTAAGTTGTGATGATGAGAGTTGCACTCAATGTGACCAAACACTGGCTTTACAGCCTTTAATAGTGGTATTAACTTTTCATGTGTGCTTGGATGAGTCCATCTGCTCTGGCTATGTTTTAACTTGGTGTTCCATACATGCAAGTTTTCTTCTGCAGTTCCAGTTGGAGATATTCTTCTCACCTTTAGTCATGGTGCTCATCCTGAATAGCTTCTGAAACCCAGCCAAGCTTGGCTGTAGTTCCTCTCTGGGTAAGTAATCACAACATACAGGCATAAGTGTGAAATGTACCCTCAGGAAAGGCTGTTTGTGAAGATGGGTGCTCATGGATAGAATCAGCTGCAAAAAATCCCAGCAGTATAAACTTCAGAAATAGAACAAGGTATCTGCATGAGTGTACATATGCTGAACACTGAAAGGATGGTATTTAGCTGGTACATTCTAGGGTGCATGAACAGAAATGCACTGCTTTTTAGTTTTTGCTTATCATGCAAAGAGACTTAATCAGTAAACTGAAACTAGCTACAAAGCTTTGCTGAATTGGTTGGTAAAAATAACATCGTGCAACATTCCTAATGATTCAACAGAGGTATTCAGGAGTATCAGTTTTATTTTAACTAGTTGAAAATTTTTTTGTATGGCAAACTTTATTTGAAGGTATTTTAAAGTCTTATAAAGAAGGGTGGTAAGGCAATTAAACATACTATGAATAAAGGTGTAGATACTTGTGCTTTTTAGAGCAGTGTGTGCACTGGAGTCAGTCCTGAGGGTAGCTGATGGTCTGTTTGATTTTGTCCATGAAGCAAAGTTTTTTTCGTGCATTATATTGGAACTATACCTGCTACTGGTTTGCATAATTGTTATATTATTCTTTTGTCAACAAGTGCCTAGATCTATTCATTTTCATGGATTAATGCCCATCAATGGGAACTTCTCCTTTAACTTGAAGACAAGACAGTATCAGCTGAGAAGCAGACTGTTGTGCTTATTGAGAAACATTCATGATCCCTGGGCTTGCCTTGGGTCACAGATGTCTCAGGGTTTTCTGTAATGTGTGACTCAGATTCACTGCACTGAGGAAAGCAGAATGGTTTCAGTTCAGTTGCAGGTCAGACTGTTTTACTCATCACTCTCAAGATGAAAACCAGAAATTTTCTTTCAGCAGAACAAAGGGTTACAAAAATGAAAAGATAATTGCAAAAGAAAAGTTTCAAAGGAATCTAATGCAAGCTGGGCATATAACGTGCTACTATCGAGAAACAATTTTCATGCTTCTCAACTTATTTAGCCGAGTCCCTTCTTACTTTCAACTCTTCTCCAAGGTGCTGTTTTATGGGTGGAGTGGGCTCTCGGCTGAGTCCAGAATGGGCCCAAGTGCCCCCTCTCCCCCTAGTTTGCTCATACCTGAAGAAAACATTACATACATCATTAATTTAATCTGAAAATGCATTAAATAAATTGACATTTATTTACTCATCTCTGCTTCATTCTTCCTTGCTAATTAATCTTACTGAAGCATGTGCTATTAGTTTGGAGGCTTATGGGAGTGAGGTGTTGGCTTTGGATATTTACATCTACTTTCGTAATGCACTCACTCTCTGCCCTGTTCATTTGCTTGCTAGGCTCATGTTCCTGTTCAAAATGCTAATTGAATGGCTGCTTTTCTGGATTCCTCCATCCCCAGATTGCCCTATACTGCTGTATTCTTTGTGGCTTCTTTACAGCTTTCAGACCATACAGAATATTCTCTATAGTTTAATTTCTTTGTAATTTTCTGAAGAAAGCTGCAATGTGGGATGTCCCTGATAACCACCCAAGACATCTCTAGTGTAAAGATGACTGATCTATAAAGGTTTTGAACTGTGCCAGTTTGCCCGTAACTAGCTTTTGATAGCTAAGCTTTTGCCATCTGTCTGAGTGCTACGTTAATTAATCTGCTTGCTGAGGAAAACAACTCAGTGGGGTAGAGCTCTGTGAGAGATTTTGGTATGAGAAGTTGGCGGTGAATGTTCTGCTTCCTCTTTTCTGTGTGCATGAAAGAGGAGATGTGGTTGACGAAGTTCTAGAACATCTGTGCAACTATCAGAAGCAGACTTGAAATTAGACATGCAGAATTATTTAAACAATCTTGCCTTGGTGAATATTGTGTGTTGTAGGTAGGCTTATTTCCTCCTAAACCATACAGTTATGTAAATATTACAGGAGTAAATGTATTTCAAGTCTGGACTGTTAAAAGTTTCCTTTCATTCTGTTCTTAATACCTGCATTGTACGGAAATTTCATTAATTCTTAGAATAATATAGCCTTCTACTTCCTGAGGTAGTAATTATTAAGGAATTAGCACCTTATGTGAGATTCCCCAGCCTGAAGATTACATATGTTTGAAATTCTGTTCTGAGGATGTTAATCAAGTACGCAGAGGACTTTTGCTGGTTCTTCACTCAAAGATGAATTCCACTCACAAAAGGTGGGTTATATTTACTCCCTTACTTACACTTTTTTCTTTTTGTTATATGTGTTTTGGAACCTATCAAATCTCAGATGCTGGTGTTTTTCTGTTGTTGGAAGATATTCTTACGTTTTGAAATTTCAGTGAAAATGCAAATCTCCGTGTTGAATTTCAACAGAGAAGAAAGGAAAAAATGTTTAGTATGACACTAACTTAATACTATCATAAAATAGTGTTGGAGGTGTAACTGTTGGTCCTTAATATTGCGCTGCTAGACAAATCTGCTTTATTCTTTGGCTGTGGTACTCTTCAGTGCTACACAGTGTGGATTGTCCCTTCTTGCAGTGCATAGCAGAGCATACACAGTAAAGTAAAACTCATCTGGCAATGGGGTGCAGACAGAGAAGATCTTTCTGTTTTTTTCTCCCTTCAGAATATTTCTTGCTTTGTTCCTGATGTCCTTTTGGCCCAGGGGGAAGTTCCTCCAGGTATTTCCAGATCAAAATTTGTTTGGTTCAAGAAGTTCTTTACCAGCCTGGACTCTGAAGAACAGGGTCAGCTGGTCTTTGAAGGAAGCTGGGTCAGATTTCCTTGTCTTGGTTCTTCTTGTGATTGATATTGCACTCTGACCAGCCATCCCACCTTCATTTCTATTCTCTGCTCAGATACTCTCTGAAGACAGAATTTGACCTCTCATTCGGATTCTGTTGAGGGAGAAATTTATACTTTACCAATTTACTCTTGTATTGCTTTTGTGATATTAATTACATATATTTTTGCTTTACTCAAAAGAAAACTTGATTGAGCTTGGTAGGAGACTTGGAGGAGAAGGAATGAGTTATCAGTCAATCAAATTATTAGAGACTAACATACACTTTAACCTAGAACTTAAAAAATAGGCTTTTGGGTTTTATTTAATAAAAGATTATACAGGAGCAGAATTTTGAAACATTTTTTTTTCACAGACAAAGTCAACACAGGAAAAAAAAATTGATGTTTGTCTTCTGAAACAGTCTGTAAGTTGTGCATACTTCAGGTTGTCTGTATGTCATGTCAAAAGCTTGACCACAAGACAGTAATGCCCAGGCCATGGTTTTTCATGTTAGGACTGATTCCTCTCCAAATCTACAGCAGCTGTTGATAGACATGACTAGATATTAGTTCTGCTGGATCATTTTCCATATCCACAAGATCTTTCCCTTTTTGGGTTTTTTTGATCCTTAAAACTAGACTCATTGTCTCACACCATTTCTAGAGAGGTTCTCAGTCAAGTTGCAACTGTGGGGTAATTTGGAAAATGGAGGAGAAATGGAGTCTTTGGAAGTGTCAAGTGCTTTCTTTCAGGTTTTGGGTACCACTGCTTCATATGTAGTGTCCAGTTACACTGTGTTTTTCTTGTTAGTACACTTTTGGCCAGACTGGCATTACAATATTCATGAGACGGCATAATTAGTCCTCAAGATTCTTGGCTTATTGGAAAAATGGATCTCTGTATCTTTGTGCTGTAACAAAGACAAAGCCAATCAGCTCTGATAGGCTGACCCTGAGAGGGTGCATGGCCATGTCCTGGGTCTTTGGTGCATGAAGAGGAATATCCTTTGGCTCTTCTGAGCAAAGATGTTGTTTTTGCAGCAGTTCCTGTAAAGGGTCCATGTGGCTTTTGGAGGTCTCTCCCCAAATGTGTGTGGACATGGGGTACATGTGAAAAGCAGATGGGAGGCTTTTTGTGTTGTCCTTTACTCCTAAATTTATTGAAGTCTGTACTGGTTTTATGTTTTTCAAGATTGTTGAGAATTTGTATTTCTTATCTGTATTTTTTTAACATACCATGGATTGTATTCTGCCCATTATAAAGGAATTAATTTCTACTTAACTGAGAAAATCAATAATTGGAATTAAAGAATATGAGTGAGGAGGTTTCATAAGAGCATGGAACAAAAGTATATACAATTAAATCTTTTATTTAACTAAAAAAAAATTTGGTATTGAGTTTTATTTTATAGCAATAAAAAGCAAATTCAACAGTTCAACAACTTCAGCAAATTCAATGTGTTTTCTTTTCATAGGGCTGGACTCATCACTGAGACATATTGAACAGAGAATGAAGATATACTTCTGTTTTTCTGTAAAAAAAAAAACCATAAACCTGGGAAGCATAATGAGACCCCTTACAAATATCTATATCTTCGCTTGTGTCTTTACATTTGTGCTATGGAATAATATCCAGACAAGTATGGAAAATGAATTTATTGCAAATTATTCAAGCAGTTTGCTAACTAATGTTCCAAAAAACATCCCAGTCCATACTCATGTATTAGATTTATCACATAATAAGATCTCCGAACTTAGTATCTCAGAATTTATCTATCTTTCTGGCCTTCAAGTATTGAATCTTTCTTATAATCTAATTACAGAGCTTGACTTTACTGTCTTCATTTTTAATGAAGATTTAGAATACTTAGATATATCTCATAATAACATTTTGAAAGTTTACTGTCAAACTCTTGTATATCTTAGACATTTAGATCTTTCGTTTAATAAATTTACTGCCCTGCCCATCTGCCAGGAATTTGGGAACATGTTTCGTTTGGACTACCTAGGATTAAGTGCCACGATGATACAACGGTCAGACTTCAGCTATATCACACATTTGCAGCTGAACACTGTGTTCCTAACCTTAGAAGACTTTTCTCTGTATGAGCCTCAGAGTCTGACAGCTTTGAATACTAGAAGCCTCCACATCGTTTTTGCAGCAAACCAAAACTTCAGTTTTTTACTCTTGTATGATGGAATGAGCACTTCGGAAAATGTAAAAATAGTTAACATAAGATATACCTTGAGCTACAAAGATTTCCCCTCTCCTTCTTTAACTCTTCTGGAGAAAATCAAGGCAACAGCTCTGGTGCTTGACACTGTGGACCTACAATGGACTATCATTTTGCAAATTTTCATGCTTATTTGGTATTCACCTGTGGAGCATCTGACTGTGACAAATTTGACTTTTCGGGGACCACTGCGGGATCTGAACAAATATGAATTTCTATACTTGTTAAGCTCTATGGACCAATTAATCTTTTCGAGTGGCTCCATGAAAGTGTTAACTTTGGAGCATGTTCGTAATAAGCTTTATTACTTCAACCAAGAGATTCTATACAGACAGTTTTCAGAGATGAATATCACCAGTTTGACAATATATGATGCATATATGCCACACATGCTTTGCCCCAATAGAACAAGCTCATTTCAGTATATAAATTTTTCTCACAATGCCCTGACAGATGAATTGTTCCAGAATTGTGGCACTCTGACAGATCTGAAATTACTTATTTTGCAGAGGAATAAATTTGAGAGCCTTCACAAGGTAAGCTTCATGAC